TAACAAAAACATATTACAGGTGTTGGATAAGTGAGAGTTCTACCTTTTGTTGTTCTTCCCATCCTTCTTCGTCACTAACATCCATAACATTTTCTAATCCTCTACGTTTTTGAAAAGCCTTAAAGCGTTCTTCTCTAAACAATTTTTTGATAATAGTTTCTCTAAAGTCCTGAAAAAAAGAAAATGATAATAGGATGTCAAATTTATGATAAACTGATAGCACACAGAGAATGAAAAAAAAAAAAACTGACCTGCATCCACATATCGGTATTAAATTTCATGACTGGTTGGTGGTGAGCATGCCTAGGAGGAGGAGAATGATGGTGATTTCCATGATGAATGTATGAAGATTTGCCGGATTCTATCTTGTCATTTAAACTTTTAGAACGACGTCTATAAGTATTGGTTTTTGGAGAATGAATGTATTCATGATTACTTAATTCCATTTTTATGAACTTGACAATTCGATTAAAAAGATGAACAAGTGAACCGCAAATTTAAAACTCGTATTTATTATCGTTATACCGTCAGATGATTCTTTTATGGTGACATCATGAGAACAAATTATCTCCATCGCTATAAATTAGGCACTCAATATGGTGATACGAAGTATAATCATGATCCTTGAGAATAAATTTGTCAGAGAAACAAACATTAAACTTGTGTTTACTCCTTTTTAATTGTCCACATGACAATGATAATAATTAAAATTAGCGATAAGTACTATCTCTAGAAAATGATTCGTTAACAATAAAATCATCCGTTACCAAATCGCGGGATTGATTATCTTCATTGATTATCCAATCATTTTTTGTTTAATGTTCATCGAGATTCTCAATTACTATGTCTGAAAACGAGAATGACAAGTTCGCTGAGGATGATCTAAGGTTCTCTTATTTCGCAAGTTAATACTACTCTTTAATTGTACTTATTGCGATATTCGGAAAACAGTTTATCCTCCCATGCCTTATCAGCCCTAAATGACTTTTTTTTGGAACAGCAAGAGCAACAACTAAGATTCGAACAATTAAAACAATGCTCTTCAATTCAAATTTATTCGGATACAGAACATGAAGACAAACCTGATTTGGTTAATGAAGATAGTGACGAAGAAGGATGGGAAGAACAACAAAAGGTAGAACTCTCACTTATCCAACACCTGTAATATGTTTTTGTTA